ACCAAGTTTATAGAGAAAAAAAAAAATCATGAGTTGTTTAAAAAAAAACATTGCAGTAGCTTCATCTGTTGCCAAAAATTGTTCTTGGTTCAGTTTAGCCAAAGTGAAACAGGACCTGATTTGAGGTTAAACCAGAACCAAGAGACGTGATCACATCACTCCAGTTTCAGCCTCTTTAAACTGGCTCCCAGTATGTTTTAGAACAGATTTTACTGATTACTTTTAAGGCTCTTCGTGGTCTCTCTGCCAGCTAGATCTCTGACCTCCTAGTAGCTTCTAGTAACGTACGCACCAGGACGCACTTCGAGGTCCTCCTGTTCCAGAGGCTGAAAACTAAAGGGGACAGGGTGTTTGCTGTCAGGACCTCGAGGCTCTGGGACAATCTGCCCGAGTTAATCAGGTTGGCCGAGTTAGTGATCTCCTTGAAGTCCCTTCTTAAAACAGACTTTTATCAGAAAGCGTTTCCTGATTTTATTTGAGTTAAATTTAGCCTGCCTTTATTTCCTCAGTTTTTATACACTAAAGTGTTTTTATCAGTTTTTTCCTAAGTTGTTCTTTTCATGTCTTCTCTGTTTAAATTACTGACATGTACACACACTTTGCAGCTCCGTTTTAAGAAGCGTGTTATAAATAAAGATCATTATTATTATTATTGATAGAGGTTACATTACATGGAGAATTTTGTGCAGATCCGGCAATAAACTAGAATTACTGCTTTGCAGTTGTATGCCTTTGTGATCCACTCAAGTTGTACGACAGCTTACATAAATGTTTGTGAAAACATGGATGCGTCAAACATATTAATCCATTATCTGACCAAATGTCTCCCCTTCTGTTCCTGAGATATGACCTTGAATAATGGACAGAAAAGTGTTTTTGCCGAACATGATGATGTCACAGTGAAGGTGACCTTTCTAGATATAAAATGTCATGACCTCATTATTTTATCCTGTTAGACATTTGTGTGAAATTTTGTCAAAATAAGTGTCTGATAAGTGACTCTTGATTTACTTGATTTATTGGCCAAAAACACGTTTCAGGAGGTCTGGACCTCCCGAAACGTGTTTTTGGCCAATCAGTCTGTTCTTCCAAGTGAACGTTTGTGTCAAATTTAAGAAAAATTCCCTAAAGGCCTTCTTGAGATATCACATTCACATGAGTGAGACAGATGCAAAGTCATATTGACCTTGACCTTTGAACAACAAAATCTAATCAATTCACAGTTAAGTCAAAGTGAATGTTTGTCATTGTGTAAAGTTTTGTAACATAATTAACGAATATGAATTGCTGAGTTGAGGCCATAAAATTTGTGTGAGGTCACAGTGACCACAAAATCTCATCAATCAACCTTAAAGTGGGAGTTTGTGCCAAATTTTAAGAAATTCTTAAAATATCACATTCATGAGAATGAGATGGAAGCAAGGTCACAGTGAACTTGACATTGCACTATAAAAATGTAATCAGTTCATCCATGACCTTAAAGTGGACGTTTGTGCCAAATTTGAGATACATTCCTTCAAGGTGTTCTTGAGATATTCATGAGAATGAGACAGATGATCTATAACCACCAAGAAAAAGGTTGTCTGTTTGTTTGTTTGAATCACTGTGAAATATTTCACCTTCACTCTTAAAGTATGAAAGAAGATTCTAACAAGACACAAATTGTTAAAAGTCCTCAATAAATTTCATTCTCCTTAAAATGACTGATAGAGTTTTGAAATTTTTACCACATTCACAGAAATAAATCTTGAGTCGCTTCAGAAAAGTTGCAGCAACTCTGCCTGTTGCCATTAATTTTCTTGTCTGGGTTTAGCTAATGTGAGGCAGAACTTGATAAGAACTTAAATGACTTAACGTGGAGAATTCTGAGCAGTTCCATAAAAAAGTCGCTCCACTTCTCTCCTTTCTGTCAAAGGACGTGGTATCATTTCAGCAGAAACTGCAATGAAACCCAAGCTGTGAGACTGTTACCCAAGCGAGCGCGCTATAAGAGCAGATCAGAGGGTCAGTAAGTTCACACAGAGAGAAGCCATGGTGGGTACTTTCTGTGGTCAGTTTTATTATTTCAGACAGCGCTGACTCTTTTCTGGCTGAAAACTTTTGTAGAGCTGCACAACAGGGGGCAAAGGAATATTGTTTTTTTCCCTGAGTGTTGTGTCCGTGTTATAAAGTGTCGGTCTGCATCTCCCCATGATGTTTTATATTCTCGTGTAAAAGATGTTCCACAAAACAGAGACTGAGGGGAAGCACAGCAAACACTCCATCTTATCAGGTGATCTCGGCCTATCATCGAGTCATAAAAACCCTAAGCTCTGTGTTTTAATAGTGTGAGACACAAGCCTTTGTAGATAGAGGGCAAGCTAAAAGCATGCATAGAGATGTTAGACATCGCATTTGTGTACAGTAATAATTCTCTGTAGTAGTCCTGGGACTAGACTATTATTTCACTGCTGTGTTTTTTCTTATGTTTCTATTCCTTTTATGTATTTTCTCTATCATATATCCATATCCAGAAGTTGAAATGAATTTATACCACTTTGTTTGACTGCGGGTCCTCACTTTTTCGATGAGACAATAATTTAGCTTAGTGTTCTTCCACACCCTGTGTCAAAAAACCTCTTTTGTTGAAGACCATGTGACGTCCCTATGGTCTTTCGATGAACAGTCATTATTGGAGATCATTAGAAATGTCTGTATAGGTGAACCTATTCAGCCAATTCAGTCATTGTGCATCCCTGCCTCAATCCATCTATGATCCTGTGACATCATTTATAGGCTGTAGGGGTCATTCGTCCAGGTCTTAACGTCAAGGATCTGCCAGAGCACTGATGAGACCTTGAAATGTCTTTATAACTAAAACCAAGCAGTGGTACCTTTGACCTGTGCCCTGGGTGACATTTTTTATGCATTAAACACCATTTTAAGACCCTTATAATTAAACAGCATCAATTGCAGACATTTTAATGACCTGCAGACAGCGTGCTGAAAGCCTGCTGAGTGTCAGGGTCGGATGATTTAAAACATCCCCGGGCAGTTGCTGTAAAGGCCAGCCAGTCTGAGGGAGCGATGACGTGCTCCGAGCATGCAATATCATTTTCCCACAATAAGTAGAATAAAGTCTGACGGAGGTGAGGAGAGCCAGAGCATCCTAAAGGCCTCGCTGTGCTACTGTGTGTGAGTCAGAGGTGACAGCTGGATCCTACAGATCAGACTGTGGATTTTCCATTTCCTTTCTTCTCCTGTTTGTCTGACACTTTAGCTCTTTTCCATTGTCGAGACCTCTTTCTATTTCTTCTAGATGGTTTTTGGGGGCGTTAGTATGTATAATGACAATACCATGCATGTGACAGCGAGCTATTTGAAACCTTTATTTTCCCATTTTGCCTGCTGTTTATCATGCGATATTTCTAATGGATCTTTTTCAACTGTGCAGATCCAGGATGTGGAAGCCACAGGAAATACACTCAGGAACTAAATCATTGATTTGTGTGTGTGTGTGTGTGTGTGTGTGTGTGTGTGTGTGTGTGTGTGTGTGTGTTTCCACTGCATCTCAAGAACTACAGAGATTAAAACAATGGTTTTATTTAAGATGCCAATGGATGGTGGAGATGTAAAGAGATGCAAAAGGAAGTTTGAGAGGCCAGAAAGGAAACTGTTGGAAAGTACCAATGATCTCCTGAGTTTTTTGTATGACTCTTTTACCAAAAAAATAGTAAATCTAATTAAGTTTTATTCTTATTTCTCTCCCTACAAGGTTTCAATGTTCATAGCATCAAAAGAAATTCCCCTCCCAAGTGCTAATATTGATACTGGTAACAAGCTGATGAGGTTTGTGGTTGACCCATCAGCCTTGCACAGAACTGTGAGGTCTTCCCTGTTTGCAGTCTACAAACTATCACCTCAGGAGCAGGGACTTTTTGGAGACCTGCACTGGGTTCTTGCAGTCATAATGCATGGACAGCACCTTAAAGGAATACTTCACCCCGCAAATGATCATTTGTTTATTATTAACTCTCCCTGTGTCATGTTGAATTTGTGAGGAGAACTTCTCCCCTGTGAACGAAGAATCCAAAAATGCCAAAAGTCTTGATGACTTTAAATCATAGGGGTCCATGTATAACAACAGCAAAACTGTATTTAATCATCTCTTCAGTAAGTCCCACACAACTTGTGAAGTATCATCCAAGTCTCAGTTAACCAGTCGTATCCTTAGTACTTCTGTAACAGACTTTCTTTCTTTCTTTTTTGAAGGGGAACTGAACAAAGTGAATTTTTCTGTGCTCTCTTCAAAGCCAGACTCCATTCAGAAATTAGGTAATTTTACCTCCCTGAAAATGGAAGCTGCTGGTCCACCACTGCCTCAATCAGTTAGTGTGTTTGTGTTGTGTGACTTCAAACTAACCCTTTAAAACGCCAAAGTTACACAATTACACAACAAATTAACTGATCGAGGCAACGATAGCCCAGCACCTTCTGTGTTCAGCGATGTCAAACTACAGTTTTTGTGAATGGAGTCTGGCTTTCAAGACAGCACAAATAAGTTTCACTTTAGTTCAGCTCCCCGTTGGAAAAGGGCTGTTTGGGAAGTACTAAGCATACGACTGGATAACTGAGACTTGGATTACACTTCATGAGTTGTGTGAGAGCTTATAAACAGATGTTTTGATATAGTTTTGCTGCTGTTAAACGTGGACCCGTGACTCCAATTCAGCAAGAATTATCTACATTCGATTTTCGTTCATCGCAGAGGCATGCGATATGACAACATTTTCTTCACGAACTCAGCGTAACATGGAGTGGGTAAGTGATACACAAATGGTCATTTGTGGTGTGAAGTATTCCTTTAAAATATTCTGGAGTTCAAGTTAAAGTTCTGTTGCTGGGAAATATTGCTCAGAGAGGAAGTTTTTATTGCTTCATCAAGGCTTAAACTTGTGCAAACTTTGTAATCTAAATGACAAATATCTCATTTGGAGATAAGAAACCCTTCTTGTACTCACCACATGGAAGACTTGAGCATCCTGACCGGTGGTGAGGACCATCTGGGGCTGGAGGCCGGACTGGAGGAAGAAGCCATGAGCCGACACTGTGCAGCCTCCACTACAGTGAGGAAGGGGGTGATGAGAACGGATGTTAGCGTTAGCATCAGACAGAGACACAGTAGATCCCCACTGGGACGGGACCTGCTGTTAGCGTTAGCAGTTTAGAGCCACTCGTCACCTCCTACTCATTTCCTCCTGCTGTAAAACTGAAGCATTAATCTGTCTTGCCTCATCCACAGACATTCTCAGTCACAGTCGTCCTCACTTTCCCTCTCTCAGATCTCCTTTTAGGTGAGGAAACACGCAAGAGCTCAGATTTGGAGGAAATTTATCAAGTTGACATTAAAAAATACTGATATCTAAACCATTTCTGAAAATTGAAACCTACAAGTAGTTCAGTGCGGCCAAAACACAGACATGGAGAATAGGATAAGACTGAAACCCCCATTCAGAATGACTGTAACTGACCTGACGAAGGAGCGAGACGGCTGGATGCTGTTGATGATGGGGTCTTGGTTGTAGGTGAACAGCGCAGGCGTGTGGCGCTCCACCGAGTCAATCGTCAGCTTCACGGGTTGCTTGGAGAGAACAGCGTTTGGCGGCGTCTTACAGGTCAGCATGGCGGACGACAAGCTGATGGTGTATGTCGGGGTGAGGGGAGTGAGCAAACACACAGGATATATTGTTGTGTTAGTTTGTACAGTGGGAGCCATTGTCTCATACTCATGCATTTCTAATTGAGCAGGAGAGGAGACAGAATGAGGCAAAGAGCGGGAAAAGAAAGAAAGACCTTTGACCTATAGCCAGTCCTACGTTTCATAGGTTAGATTTTCTCAGTAAAATTTCAGTAATGTCAAGACACATTTGAGTATGTGGAACAAACACAATCCCTGTACAGTGCCTGTGTACACTACAATCTACACAAAAGAAAAAAGCAGAGAAAATGACAGACAAACTTGATTACAAAGAGCTTTGAGAAAAAGAAACAAGAGAAAGAAGAGAAATGATAAAAACAAGACTGTGAACCAACCTCTGGATCTTACAGGCTGCTTTCCCTATCGTCACCTCTCGCTTGTTCCCAGTGTCCAGGAAGGCTCCTCTGATGGTCAGCATGGTGTTTCCAGACTTCGGCCCAAATGTCGGGAAGATTTCATGGATCTCAGGGTCCTAGACGCAGAGACCATCAGACAGTTTAGATATTCCTCTGTGTTGAAATTGGCAACAAATACACTGAGCGGCATCGCTACCACATATCCTCATACAACTGTTTGGATGATAAAAAATTAAGGGAACACTTAATGGTCACAGTGTAAGACTAATCAATTTCAGCTGCTTTGGTGCAAATCAAAGTGACAACAGGTGCAATGGAGAGGCAAAAGCAAGACAACCCCCAAAAAGGGAATGGTTTTACATGTGGTGTCCACAGACAGTTGCTCTCTCCTTATCCTTCCTGACTGATTCTTCTCTAGTTTGGTCTTCTGCTAGTGTCCTTGTCACTACCGGTAGCATGAGGTCGTACCTGCAGCCCAATCAGGTTGCACAGGTAGTCCAGCTCCCTCAGGACAGTCTCAAGGCCATGGGGGAGATACCAGAAGACTGGCCGTTACACTGGGAGCGCCAGCATGTTTCTGACCACACTGTCAGAAACAGACTCCATGAGGGTGGCATGAGGGCCCCACGTCCTCTAGTGGGACCTGTGCTCACAGCCCAGCACCGTGCAGCTCCATCATTCACCAGAGAACACCAGGACTGGCAGGTCCACCACTGGCGCCCCGTTGTCTTCACAGATGAGAGCAGGTTCACACTGAGCACATGTGACAGGCGTGAAAGAGTCTGGAGACGCAGTGGTGAACGTTACGCTGCCTGTAACATCATCCAGCATGACCGGTTTGGTGGTGGGTCAGTGATGGTCTGGGGAGGCAGATCCTTGGGGGGTTGCACAGACCTCCATGTCATAGCCAACGGAACCCTGACTGCTGTTAGTGATTGTCAGACCTTACGCTGGTGGGCCCTGGGTTCCTCCTGGTGCAGGACCCGGCCTCATGTGTCCAGAGTGTCTGCACTTCCTGGATGATGAAGGCACTGATGCCATTGACTGGCCCTCTCGTCCTCCTGACCTAAATCCAACTGAGCACCTATGGGACGTTATGTATCTGACACCACCAAGTACCACCACAGACTGTCCAGGAGCTCACTGATGCCCTGGCGCCACACGCCAGGTCTGGGAGGAGATCCCCCAGGACACCATCCGCAGACTCATCAGGAGCCCAGACGTTGTCAGGAGGTCATACAGGCAGGAGGGGGCCGTACACACTACTGAGTCACATGATTAGTTGGATCAATCTGTGATTTCAATGTTTTACTGAGATTTTTGGTGTGATTTTGAATCCAGTCCTCAGTTGTGGCATCGTTACATCATTTTGTTCTTGACAAATTATACAATGTACATCAGTAAAGATTTTCAACTTGAACAATTCGTTCATCAAGATCTGATGTGTGATTTAAGCGCTCCCTTAACTTTTTGAGCAGTAGGTTTTGTTTGTTTCTTTGTCAGACCGTTTCAGAATGCACAGATTTTTCACAAAGTGCAACCAGAAAGAAGGAAAAACACTGTTCTTACCACAAAGGAGAAGCCCTCCATCTTGGATACCTTGTGGCCACTGGTGACCTTCACTGTGTGTCCCGACGGGGTGAAGTTCCCACTGAACACTGGGGAACACTGCATCTCAGTCCACCTAAACACAACCCCCCCCCAGACAACACACACAGGCATTATACCCTGCCGCAATCATCCAGCATTTATCCTAATTCAATGATCATCTTCTGCCCTGCAGTAATGCACAAAGAGGCGATCTTCATCTTGGACTGGGTGGGCGGTGTTTTTATTTTTTTCCCCCCCTCGGTTTGTAATGAGGTTGTTCGTAGCAAAAGGGGCTTTTGAATGGGACAGGGCTCCAGTGGATTTGGGAGGGTGGAAAGTCTGGATGCAGCGATTTTTCCCAGCAATTTTTCAGTTAGGGGAGTCATGTGTTGAATGCGGCGGGCTGCGGGACAGAGGGGGGGCCTTCTTAACATTCTTCCTTCAACACAATAACCCCTATTAAACTCCCGCTCTGCCCCTATAGGACGCCAGTGTACGGGTCCCTTTATCTCGTAAACACCCACCGCTTAGTGCACACTCTGTTTCTCTCTGCTTCTCAAAGGTGCTTTTCAGATACTGTGCAGAAGAAAATGCTCATTTCAGAATACACATATAATGCCAGTATAACGTGCACACCGACATACAAAAACTAGAACATTAATTACTTCACACAAAGCACTCATAGACACAGGATGGATTCAGTAGGACTGTGTATAGGCAAGAATCTGGTGATAAAATCTGTATCACGATACACACGTAATGATTCAAGATATTGTGATAAATTATGATACTGTAACAGGGTGTCTGCACTTATTAGACAATTAAATTTAATGCTTTTTAAAACCCTTCCAAGATGATTTTCAACCAAAAAACCTTAACACTAGGTTTAAAGATTTGTAACATCAAAAATGTGGACTTTCACATTGAAGAGCTTCAACAATTTGACAAAAAGAAGTTAGAAAATTAGTAAATTAAACAAGATAAAAAGTTTGTGACAATTAAAACCTTTAATGATTTTTAAGGCCTTATATTTAAAAAATTGAAGACATTTTAAGACATTTTAAAGACCTGCATATGCCCTGTGTGAGCAAGGGGAAACTAATTTTATGAAAACTTGCATTGTATAAAAAACACATGAAAATATTGAAGAATTTGAGTTAAAAAAAAAGTGAACTGTTCTATGAAACTAGAACAGTGGGTTCTGAATATGTATTTATTACAGTCCCCATAACATCCAGTATCATAACACAATTTTTTGTGCAGTCGGAGCAAAGCAATTTAACATGTGCCTGTATTAGTAAAAAGAATAATATCAAAAAAAAATATGGAGCCACAAAACATATTTGAGCCCTAAAATGAAGGTAACACAGCCCATTGAGGTTTAATTATCCTATCAACATTACTAATATGTCTAATTGAGCATTCATTAACATGTATGTACAAGGTGGCTACTCTATAGAGTGCTATTTGGGATTGTTTGTCAACTTTGCAGCGGTGGTGGATAAAGCAAACAAATTTGTCCAAACACTTCTATAATTTATTCTCTCGTTCTCTATTTTGCTCCAAGACTTTTCCACTTTTTGGAAACCAACCACCACTGACTTACATCCAGGGGGCCGGTGTTCGCTTACCATATAATCATAAAGCCAAATGGTGTTCTTTTTTCCTAAACCCAACCACGTGCGTGTGTTGGCTGAAGTCAGGACCAAACGTCGATATGTGACAAGGTCGGAGTGAGAACGTGTTGCCCTATTAAGCAAGACGTGGAAGCAAAAACAAACACACACCTGTTGATGTTGTCGAGTCTGGAAAGTTTGCAGGGAGCTCCCGCCACCTCCACTGTTACCAGGGACGCCTTGAAGCTCTCTGTCTTGTCAAAGCCGAAGTTGCGCCCACACATCGTCACCACTGTAGAGCCTCGAATTGGTCCAGAGGTTGGGAAAACCTATTGAACGCACAAGTTACATTTTAAACATTTAATCATCAGTCTGAGATCATGATAAAATGCCCCTCCATACCATGGTATAATCCCTGTCATCGACTAAGACCACAATCACCATGACTGGTCTCTGTCCCACATTTGTGAAGCAGAACTACCTTTGAACCTGTTTGATCTGAAACTACAGAGGTCTTAGTCTAATTTGTGCTGTAAATCAGATTCAGATTTCTTTACTGTCATTGTACAAACATACAACAGAATTCAGGTGCACTCATGAACCAACTCGTATATAAAAATAAGTAATAAATAGTAATAAATCAGTTTATCTTTTGCCATAATATTATTGTAAGGCAGCAATATTTGTACAGTTCCTGAGTCCAAGACCAATTTCCCTACAAGGACACTAAAGTATATCGTATCGTATCAAATCTTTGTGCTGCAAAGCATCCTACATTTACAAACAGGATTCCCACACCTTCTTAAACCTCAAGTTTAAGGACTTTTCAAAGACTTCCCAGGCCTAATTCCCTCAAATTCAAGGACCCAACATGGCTTAAGACACGGATCAAGGTTAGTTATTGTTAAAAAAATTAAAATGAGAATTGGCAAGCTTCTCAGCTGTGCTATGTTACAGTAATGGCAGACAATGGCAGTCAAAAGAACTTCAATTTCTGTTCTTGCACAAAATATATCATATATATATATATACAGTACAGGCCAAAAGTTTGGACACACCTTCTCATTCAATGCGTTTTCTTTATTTTCATGACTATTTACATTGTAGATTCTCACTGAAGGCATCAAAACTATGAATGAACACATGTGGAGTTATGTACTTAACAAAAAAAGGTGAAATAACTGAAAACATGTTTTATATTCTAGTTTCTTCAAAATAGCCACCCTTTGCTCTGATTACTGCTTTGCACACTCTTGGCATTCTCTCCATGAGCTTCAAGAGGTAGTCACCTGAAATGGTTTTCCAACAGTCTTGAAGGAGTTCCCAGAGGTGTTTAGCACTTGTTGGCCCCTTTGCCTTCACTCTGCGGTCCAGCTCACCCCAAACCATCTCGATTGGGTTCAGGTCCGGTGACTGTGGAGGCCAGGTCATCTGCCGCAGCACTCCATCACTCTCCTTCTTGGTCAAATAGCCCTTACACAGCCTGGAGGTGTGTTTGGGGTCATTGTCCTGTTGAAAAATAAATGATCGTCCAACTAAACGCAAACCGGATGGGATGGCATGTCGCTGCAGGATGCTGTGGTAGCCATGCTGGTTCAGTGTGCCTTCAATTTTGAATAAATCCCCAACAGTGTCACCAGCAAAACACCCCCACACCATCACACCTCCTCCTCCATGCTTCACAGTGGGAACCAGGCATGTGGAATCCATCCGTTCACCTTTTCTGCGTCTCACAAAGACACGGCGGTTGGAACCAAAGATCTCAAATTTGGACTCATCAGACCAAAGCACAGATTTCCACTGGTCTAATGTCCTTTCCTTGTGTTTCTTGGTCCAAACAAATCTCTTCTGCTTGTTGCCTCTCCTTAGCAGTGGTTTCCTAGCAGCTATTTGACCATGAAGGCCTGATTCGCGCAGTCTCCTCTTAACAGTTGTTCTAGAGATGGGTCTGCTGCTAGAACTCTGTGTGGCATTCATCTGGTCTCTGATCTGAGCTGCTGTTAACTTGAGATTTCTGAGGCTGGTGACTCGGATGAACTTATCCTCAGAAGAAGAGGTGACTCTTGGTCTTCCTTTCCTGGGTCGGTCCTCATGTGTGCCAGTTTCGTTGTAGCGCTTGATGGTTTTTGCGACTCCACTTGGGGACACATTTAAAGTTTTTGCAATTTTCTGGATTGACTGACCTTCATTTCTTAAAGTAATGATGGCCACTCGTTTTTCTTTAGTTAGCTGATTGGTTCTTGCCATAATATGAATTTTAACAGTTGTCCAATAGGGCTGTCGGCTGTGTATTAACCTGACTTCTGCACAACACAACTGATGGTCCCAACCCCATTGATAAAGCAAGAAATTCCACTAATTAACCCTGATAAGGCACACCTGTGAAGTGGAAACCATTTCAGGTGACTACCTCTTGAAGCTCATGGAGAGAATGCCAAGAGTGTGCAAAGCAGTAATCAGAGCAAAGGGTGGCTATTTTGAAGAAACTAGAATATAAAACATGTTTTCAGTTATTTCACCTTTTTTTGTTAAGTACATAACTCCACATGTGTTCATTCATAGTTTTGATGCCTTCAGTGAGAATCTACAATGTAAATAGTCATGAAAATAAAGAAAACGCATTGAATGAGAAGGTGTGTCCAAACTTTTGGCCTGTACTGTATATATATATGTTCATGTATGTACTTTCAAAGACCTTTGTTAGTTTACATCTATTAAAAAAACTTTCAAGGGGTAATTTTGTTTCTCCTCAAATTCACAAGGATTGAAATGACCCTTGGGACCCCTGTACCATATTATATCCCATTATTCTAATGGCAAATGACAGTGCAGAGCCTGATGGAATTTCTGCCCATGAAAGGTCAATTATTTCCTTTGATTGAAGCGACGGCTGATATAATCAATATATTTGATCAACCAGCTTTTGGGTAGAGTAGGATTTTGTTTCTGAAAGGCATTTGTTTTTAGTAATGATGCTCTGAGACCTAAAGAGTAAAACAGTATTGTGGAGTTATTTCTTAAATCTACTTGAATTTATCTACTTTATTTCAGCATTTAATTAATTTACTTGTTAGATAACAACACTACAAGTAAGTGATACAGATCAGAGTACATTAGACTAAAGAATGTACATCATGACACTTGAAAGATTACATCTAGTAGGTTACGTGTAATATAAGAAACCTCCATGCAACCTCTCTTCATCTTTTTTCAAAATGCAGCCTGTTAAAACAGTCCCAGAGGAGGAGGAGGTGTTTTTATAGGTTCTCATTCCATTAACCCATTTTGTTGCATTTAGGGCAGTGAAGGTAGCTCTTTTTTATATGGAGACAGTCTGACAGCACGGGGTGCAGCATTAAAGTCAGAAACAATGAACACCACCCACATTGAGCTCAGTAAAGTCTCTCAGTGTCACAGCAGTGTCTCACAGGACAGTGCTGCTGTAAAAGGTCTGGTATTTCAGGAAGGACTGTGACCTTCACAAACGCCTCACTGTAGAGACAAACACAGTGCAAATATACTATTAAGACTTCAACAGACAGGTTGGATGAGCTGTTTTTGGAAGAAGAGGAGTGAAAGAGAGTCTGAACAAAGTCTGTACCTGGCACGATGTGACCACATGATAGGTGTCCCGGCAAACTGAGTCAGCAGGAAGCTGCAGCGTTACTCAAGTTTACTTTTAGGCTCAGGTTATTGACACAGTGTTGAAACAGCACAGAGCGGAACTATGGAGAGCTGATAAGTTTAAACACGTAGGAAATTCTAAAATTCTCACACTGCCATCATGTTTCGTTTTAAAAGTAGAATTACTACTTCATGGTTGTATGCCTCCAAAAACCAGTCCAGTGTCTCTGACAGTCTCCATCCATGTCAGTGAAAACATGGATGCTTCACACACAGAAGATCTATACAATCAGCACAGTTTCAAGATTAGAGTCACCAATTCAGTATCTGACCAAATGTCTCCCCTTCTGTTCCTGAGATATGACGTTAAAACATGATGATGTCGCAGTCAAGCTGACCTTTGACCTTTTGGATATAAACTGTCATCACGTCATTATTTTATCCTGTTAGACATATGTGTCAAGTTTTGTCATAAGTAGCGCATGAATTATGAGTTATGGCCAAAACATTGTGTGAAGTCAGAGCAACTTTTTACCATAAAATCTAATCAGTTCACCTTAAAGTGGGCATTAGTGCCAATTTTGAAGAAATTCCCTCGAGGTGTTGATGAGATATCACGTTTACGAGAATGAGATAGATGCAAGGTCACAATGAACTTGACATCTGACAACAAAAATGTAATCACTTCACTGTTAAGTCCAAGTGGACGTTTGTGCCAAATTTGGAGAAATTCCCTCATGGTGTTCTTGGGATATCGCATTTACAAGAATAAGACATTTGAGGTCACTGACTTTGACTTTTGACACACTACTCCCAAAATCTAATCAGTTCATTTATTAGTCTGTTTGAAGAAATTCACCTAAGGTGTTCACAAAAATGACACAAAAAAGGTCACAGTGACCTTGGGCCTTGATCACCAAAATCTTATAACTTCACCAATAAGTTCAAGTGGACATTTGCGCCACATTTGAAGAAAACTCCCCCAACGTGATGTTGAGATATCATGTTCATGAAAATGAGATGGATGCAAGGTCACAGTGACCTTTGACCATCAAGATTCAATCTCTTCATGGCTCAGATCAAGTGGATGTTTGTGCCAAATTTCCCTGGAGGCGTTCACGAGAAAGGGACGGATTGATCGACAGATGGACGGATAGACGGATACTTGTGTGAAGGCATAAAAACATATTCAAGTAAAACAGTGGAAGTGTGGTGAGGAGTAAAAATAGTCATGGTGACCAGTCGCTGTGGTTACCTTCGTGATGACAGGTGTGCAGTAGTCCTGCGTCCACGCCGAGGAGGAGGGACACTGGTCGGCTCTGGTGCAGCGTCCATCACACCAGCCACATTCTGTCACCCGTGACGACAGCAAACAGGAAGTACAGGTGGTCAGCTGATCACAGCCGGGGCCAATCAGAGGGACCTTAGTGACCTAGGGAGAGAAAGACGTGAGGAAGACAGTTGTGATTCTTTATTTCTGTCCGACACAAAATGTTTCCCCTCAGATGGAGATGGATTAAAGGATTAAACAGCAGAACGCTCGCAGTAAACCTCCAGGAGCATTATTCTCTTTCATCTGTTGGCTCTGCTCCATCTGCACTGTTGTGTATTTGCTCTCAGTTAATAAAAGTGTTTTATTAATCATCTAACAAAAGAAAATAAAGAAACATGTGCGGATTACTGTCTTGTTTTGGTTCAGAGAGGAACACAGGGCAGTCTTAACCTACTGAATGTGCAGAATACTGATACGTTCTCCACATGGCAAAACAATCTTCTCAAGCCTCTCCTCATTTTGCTGAGGACAAACGATGCTTTCTCATCCTTAATCTTTGTGTCTCTGAGCCCACCTTGTTGCCTGTGGCCACCAGCAGGGCTCCATCTGAGCCGTCAGTGTCCAGCAGCGCTACGGCGGAGACGGGTCTGGAGTCCAGGCGGATGTTGACATGAGGAGACGCAAATCGGGAGAACAGCACCTAGAAACAGGAGGACACATCACTGCCATCATCCTTAAGGGGGCATTATTGATGCAACAGCAACAACACTGTCGTGACTCTGACACAGCTGACTGTATCTTTGGCTCAGATTGAGTGTAACTAAATTTACTTTGTCATGGTAGAACAGGAAGCGAGCCAACTAGAGATGAGATCAGCAAACAGGTAACCAACCAGACACAACAAACTTATCGTGGCTGGTGGCAGCTGCCAAAATCAGAGTTTAGTTTAGACACTGAGCTTTACATTAAACATATGAGTCACTCAGTGTTGAGTTACTGACGCTGACTAACAACCATGCACATCTTCCACCACCCTCATGTAGCGGTTCTGAGTTCGGAGTTGATGTCATAGAAATCCCCAAATAACCTGCCATACCTCTCTGAATCTTGACAGAGCATTTATATTTTAACTGGTGCATCATTTGAGGCATTGTTTTAGCAGACCAGGAAATTCTCACACCACATGCATGCATTACAGGGATAAATTTTTTCGATGTGGGGTTGTATGCGGTACTTATCCACAGTCAGTGTATTACATACAGTGGGTGTCAGTCCGCACGCCCCCAGTTTGGAGAAGCAGGCTAGAGTCTGACACAGAGGGTAAACAATTTACTGCCATGGATTGGTGGCAGAAACAAAATGTATTTAGCCACTTAAAAAAGTCCCACTTAAAAAAAAAATCACTATCAGTGTAAGTGTACACAATATTAAGAGTATTTTCACTGCTTTACTTTAATGTCACGCAACCAGTTCCAACAGGGGATGCCATTAACAGCTTCAGTTCAGTCAAAGTCAAGTCATACAACCCCACTTCAAAAAAATCTGAACTATCCCTTTAAAGCAACATGATGCTACTCAGCCAATCAAATCTGTGCATTACCATAAGCACTGCGACTTGAGTCAAACAAACAAACAGCCACTTCATTGATTAAGTGTTTTCTTTTATCTAACCCTGAGTACAATCTAATCAAATCAAAGAGATGTACTTAAAGCCAAGAGGTGACTGTCTCGCAAGATATTTGGTGTTTGAAAACTTCCCCTATTTTTCAAATTTCAAGCAGCCCACAGGTCAGCTGAGGACGCCTGGTTAGGAGGTGGGATTCACTCACCACCGCTGTTTTTCCACTGTTTCTGTGTTTATCTGGAATGCTTAACAACGTTGTACACTGATACACATCATGAAACAAATACAGAGGAAAGATTACATGGAGTCTGGAATACACAACAATAGATTCACAGCATCACCAGAGGATAAACTGTGCCTCGAGGATAAAAAACTGGAAGACATCAACACGTTTTTGGCGCTGCTCCAGCACACCTTGACAGGGAGCTGGTTGAAGGAATACGATTCCAGATTGTGTCATCTCTCCCTGGATATTACCTTCACTGGAGTTTGGCTTAAAGCAAAGCTGCATAGAGTTAACTTCATTACAATGTTTCCTCAAAGTCCAGAGTCATAAATGTCTTAAAGGAGCTTTGTCACTTTAGACATTTTGAATTGTTATAGCAGAAAAAGTACAGGTGTAACTAATACCATTAATGATGTGTCTGCTACTTGTAGGTGTTTCAGTGCGTAGGGCTCTTACCCCAATGAACCTAACTGGAATGCAGCCACTACTAATGTTATTAGCTGACAGTTTTGTTTTGTTTTTTTAAATTAATTTGTCATTTGGAAGTGTAAGCCATGACTCTTATGGTGCACAAAATTCAGATGGAGGGAAAGAAGTAATCAATCTATATACTGTTTGAATTTGATACAGAGAAGCATGACTACACAAAAGGGTTGGATGAACCTGCAGGCAGCAGGTATCATCAGAAAATTGAAACTCATGTTGAGTATGATCCACACAAAACAAAGAAAAGTGATGTTTCCCACAACTTGAATGCTTTGCCTGGTGTGGACAAGACCGTTGTTACAAATTCCCCTGTTCTCCAGACTTCCTAACATTACTAACGTTACATGGCGAGCCAATGACAGCGTACAAAGGTCTAGTGGACTATAACACGCCGCGTGCTGCAACCAGTGGGCTGACCCATGAACCAGTGTTAATTTCATTAACAAAAACTATGCTGAAAATGATTCGTCAGTGACCTTTTTTTGATGCCAAACAGAGATGATGACCAGCTAAAAATAGATCTTGATAAAAAAATGAAATCTGTTTCATTTTTGCTGTTGAGACAAACGAAAATATTAGTGGTGAACTATCAGACATTGAAAGCTGAGAACAGCCATGCTTGCAATTAGGCCTATCTTCAAATGCTGCATGAGCAGCAGGCTGGTAAACTCCAGTAAACAGTCGGCACCAGGATGTTTCAGTAGCCAGCAGACACAGTCAGCGCGGAGCAGCGTCACTCATTGGTGCGAGTTGTGAGCTGTAATTCAGCAGTAAATAATCAGCCGTGTGTGTCTGACTGTGGATGGTGGAGCTGCTGAATGGATTTGTGGAGTTTGTTAGTTGCAGCGGTGGCTGTTAGCAGCTAGCTCCGCTCACAGCCAGCGGCTGCCGGACTTCACACTCAGTCCAGACTGGAGAAGGTTTGTGGGTTGATGGTGTTTGACAGGCAGGTAGGAGGCTCAGTTATCTGTGAGTGTAGCTGTGCTGTAAGTAAACAGTCTGAACTCAGATCAGTTTTCTCTGACAGAGATGAAAGTTTAGTTTGAATCACCAACTCTGTGAGAGGACACCAGTTTAAACCTCCAGACTAACATGTTGCACATGAAGAAACAAGTTATGTTTCTGCTTCTTAACAGTCACATGGATAAGTCAGAGTTTACAATGAACCTGGGGACAAATCCTAGTTGGCTCACATTAGTTATTTGTGCTGCCAAGATTAGTCCAGCAATCAGTCAGCTTCAGCCGTTACAGCTGTAATGGAAATACATCACTGTCTGTATCCTGATAAGCCGTACTCTCCAGTTTAACTTCTTACTATTTGGAGAGATCGAGAGATTTTCAGTGAAGTTGTATTAACTTCTACCATCTCTGAGGGGCTGAGAGACATGAGAGGCTGGTTTGAGGGCACAGAACATGAGGATGTAGCCAACAGTGGAAACATTGTGTCCTCTGACATGTTGAGAAGAGTTTCAGACACACACAGCATGCACACACGCACGCACGCACGCACGCAGTCTTTCACTCACACTTTGTCTGCAGATTATCTCACACATGCAGAGCTGGCACACAAACACTTTCAGCTCACACGTCAAACGTCAAAAGCACAAATGTCATGTGCACAGTCAAATGTAAACACAGATACCCACACACACACACAGACGGATGAACACACTGTTCCCATGTATTCTGTCTCTATCACACACACACACACACACACGCACACACACACACACACACACACGAAGTCAACACACCTGGAACAGCATTTATCATTTGTGGTTACGCTGCAATTACAGGCCTGGGAGCAAACAGAAGAGAGCAGGGTCTCTAATGGGGTGTGTGGTTGCTCCAGTTACATGAAGCCCTCTAAATTATACCATTCCCCTATCACACACACACACACACACACACACACACACACACACACACACACACAAACAGATATAGTCTGCTGACACACACACACTCTGCCCTGTCAGGATGGATAGACCGTCCAAAAACAACGCGCTGGCGAGACACTGCAGGATGACAATTACGGCATGCGTGTGTGATTCCAGTAAATACCTACAACCCTCTGCATTGTAAATGTTAAATGTGATTTTGTAGGTTGGCTGGTACACCACTCGCCCTCGCCTCACCCTGTGTTTTCCAGCATCATTCCTCCCACTGTTTGAGCCTCATGATCAACGTTAGCTTTGTAACAGAGAGTATAATGGATGGCTTTCCGCTGGGGACGAAGCCATACAACAGGCATCTCTCTGGAGGTAATAGCAGTGTAAATTACAGCTTATTGTATTAAGCAGGCGGGGGGAAGTTTGGCCTATAAACACGGCCACTGTGTTATTCCCACAGTGGTCCGACTGAAGCTGAGGGAAACACTTCCTGAGCCAGAATGGAGTCCACTGGGAGGGGGGGGGGGGGGGGGGGGGGGGGGCGGGGGGGGGGGGGGGGGGGGGGGGGGGGGGGGGGGCAACGCTCTTTTTCTTTCACTGCCTCAACTCCATGTTCCCTCTTGTCCTGTCTGCTGGGAGAGACCGGGAAATACATGAAAAGTTGACAGGTTCTTTTTATCGTACTAACAATGAAATGAGCTGCCAGAGCAAAGACGACCACCTCTCCTCAGATTCTTATTGTGGCCTTTCTTTGGGAGAGAGCAGGTGGCCGGGGGGTCGTCAGGTCAAGTGCATGCCTTGGAATATCAGAGGAGGGAAAGTGAATGAGACATTGCTGTCACGCCCAGTGGATACCTTTGAGCAAGGTGCTTCATGTAAAATTCCTAGGGCTGTAACAGTTCATGTATTCATACTCAACAGTCCAGTGCACATAGCTGTGCGCAGAGGTGATGCACCTACAGACTATAATGTTAACCCAAAGTGCAAGTTTCATCTGGAAACTATACGCCGTGATCAACAAGTGCTGAGGTGAACACAACAAGACAAACGGTGGTGAATGCAAAAGAAAACGCGGCATCAGAAGATGTGTCTGCAGGTTCTCCGTTGTGTGTAAGACAACAATGGTGTGTTGGTGTTGCTCCACTGTTGAAGCAGTCTGTGATAGAAACCATAGACCAGTGATACTCAACTTACGGTCCACAGGATGCCAGATGGCACCTGAACCATTTTCCAACTCGCAATGAAAATAAATCGATTCACTCGTAAATTTCTTCGGACTTTTAATATAAATAAGGAGCCACTGTGCATTAAAAAACAGAGCCTTTTCATCAATAAAAGTGCCAGGGGATGATCCCCCGAATCCTCACCAGAGGTTCGGGCTAAGCCCAAAACGTCCTCAAATCATAAAATTGCCCCTGTGCGCAGCTGACAGGTGCGGAGCTGCTGCGACTGGCTCCTGGCCTCCTGTCATT